AATGTTAATGGTACTGGCTAGCTCTACTGAAAAGAGCTCGCCAGTAGCTAGCTCTACTGGCGAGCTCTTGTCGGATTTGAAACACTCTATAGAGTGTTTCAAATCCGACAAGTTAGCTCAATGGATAGAGCGCTAGACTGTTGTGCGGGAGGTCGAGGGTTCGAGCTCCGCCTGGACCAACACTCATGGTCTTAAAATAATTGAGAGGAATTTGCTACCTTTCTATAACATCAAGAAATGGTTAGATATTCTAGTCTTCTCGGATAGGGACAAATAAATGTAGGTCCCGTCTCTTACAGGGTTGGGGTAGGAGACGTTAATTTCCCACACACGAGATTACTGTGTGATTGATGTCCTCCCCTGGGGTGGGATGGGTGGGTTTATTGGGCCCGCAGTAATTGGCGCAAGCTGTTGCGGTATCCCTGCCGGTTGGCGGAGCTAAATAAATCTAAATAAATCTAAATCTAAAGTTCTGATGAAAAAAGACTTTTGATGAATAGTAGTTTTGCATTTTTTAGGAACAAATTTGATGACAGTGTTAAGGTAGCGCGTGGTTCTTGCAACACTCTTTACAGGTAATACAGAACCATTCAAAGAGACAAGGTTATGCGTAGCCTTCTAGAAGAATATCATGTCCATACATTCATGCCAATACGTGATGGGTAGAAGTTTAAACGATTGGAGTCGTTTCTTGTAATCTATAGATGTTGAGAATGGCAAACGTAGTGAACTTTGCAGCACGTCTGGATAGACTCTAACTTGGAAATTAGTTCACTGGATTAAGAGCCCACACTTAGGTGGCATAATAAGCATAGTAATAAGGGGCATCATGAATAGGTATTTCAATATCACTTACCTGTATGATGCTATTAAATATGAGAGCTGTGGCCCTCGGGTCGTCACATCTTTATTCAAAACTGAATCAACATTCATGGAATGTGAGAGAGAATCGTAGTTCTTGCTTAATATTTCCGTAGTATAACTTCTGAATCAAACTGCCAACTGATTGCAAGTAGAACGACTTTAATTCGGCGTCATTTCTTCGCCGTGCATGCTACGAAGAAACGATACCGGTAAAGTAAACTTAAACGAGCCCGGGAAATTGACAATCTTTTGAGTCATGACCCGGTGACAATGAATTTGTCCTCTTACATTACTTTGGCGATACGTTATCGGTCGGGAGAGTGAATCTTTACTCCGTTGGGCGATTAATTGTAAACTAATTGACTGAACCAACAATGTGGGGAAACTTTAATTATTCGGACCACTTGTTTGACCTATCAGAAAGGCAGAAAAATCGGTCACCCATTTCTTTATGCCAGCGATCTGTGGCAACTGGACTTTGGTCGAACCAAGAGAAAACTCGCAGCACTTACTTTCACTCGTATTTAATGCTTCACAATATTATCACGAATGTAAGTCGAAATTGGACCTCGGTTATACGAACACTGCATCACATTAGAAGACAGTGATATTTACACTCGCAGGAAACTGAATTCTACGCTAGTATGTAGATTTTCATGATATCGGAATTTCTCCTGTATCGAAATCATGATTTCTCCACTGCGCGCAGTAAACGTATTGTTTAAATAATTCAAATACAAAAAATGCGGCAGTTTTACCTTTTGTTAAACGTTCAAGTTTGTTGAGAAAAAACTTTGAGCCAAATGAACTTGAGAATCAGAAGAAGAAGAATAAATAGAATGAGAAGAGGAAGAAGAAAAAGAAAGCACTTGAAGCTCGTTTCTTTCGCAAAGTCACGAAAGAGATTCCTGAAACTGCATCAAACAAACATCATGCTTCGCAGTTCCCGTTGCAATGCAAAGCAGCAATTTCAAGGCCTAAACCATTAACTTGTATTTAGAAGCAACATGAATGCAATGACCTTTAAACCAAGAAAAAAAAAAAGATAAAGACAGGAAAGGACTTAAATTTTAGATCAGACGAAATTCGGCTTGAAGGAGGGTGATTCAGCCAAATGTTCTATACTTGTTAGGGAAGTGAATTTAAAACTGAAATTTGCTCACTCTAAAAGAGGATCATGGAAAAATCGATTTGTGCGAGCTCGGAAAAAAGAAAGTTTTAGGGCACTACAAGCCCCTAAGAGCGTAAAAATTTTACTGTCTCAGACAACCTGACTGCTTTATGTTGAAAGCCATCATTGAGAGGCATTCCAAAACTTTTGGAACTCGACCTCTGTTCTTTGCAATTGATAAGACAGAGTGGGCCTTTGGAAAGTTCTGGCTGTTTACAAGATTAAGAGTCGCATACAAAATTCATGGGTTAGAAGTTGGTACAACCCTAAGCATCTTTAAATTCACGAGCTTTAATGAGCTTTTAATGACACGAATGAGCAAAAAGTCATCTTTGAATAAGAAAATATCATCTAAGCATTGCTTCAGATTTTGAAGAGAGTTTCTTTTAGATACGAATTGTATACCAAACAGCCAGATTTCACATACCTATTCCTCGTCGAATGCCTCTCATTGTAATTCGTTTGGTGTTGTATGCAGTGTTCTTGAGAGACGCTGCCAAAAAATAAAATTTTTGATGATGACTGAGATGAGACTTGAGTGCAACTCTACAGAAAATGTGTGGTTGCAAGGTTTTGTCAATACTGATTGGACTTAACCCTACCCTAAGCTTTCTATACCCGGCAGAGCTGCGTGGACATATGTTCTATGCACCATGCTTTTTCAAGTGGTCAGAGTCAAGTGTTTCCGTTATCGCCAGAGACAATACTAATCATATTAATATCATGGTGACGAACGACCGGTTATATTGGTTGCTGTTATAGCAATTCTTTGGTAAGTCACGTTCAAAAAGGCTCCAAACGTGGTTAAAATTGCACGAAATACATATTAAAGGTTTACTCTCCATTCTTAAACGTCTGCAAGAGAAAGTAATGTTTTGTTGGAGCAGACATTTCACTTCCGTGGATATGAAAGACGATACACCTAACTGGATAACAAAAATTTTTTAGGGCCAACCTTCGTTCGAGAACGTGCAAGTTCGTGAGAACTGCGTATATATAGCCTTGAGGCTAAGTTTGTGATTGGCTTCGACTTCAAATATGGGATTTGTGATTTAATGGGGAAAATTTCGTTAATCTCCCATTCACCGGAATCTGAAACAGTAAATAGTTAGACGGGGTTCCATGTTGTCCGGCTTAATTCCTATTTATAGGTATTTTAGGGCAGTCATCGTGTATCACATCAGTTGTTTACAGATTATTGATTTCCTTTCGTCTGTCGCATGAATAACTAGGAATATTGTCTTGAAATATTTCCCTTCTGTTTCAGTAAGAAATTCAAATCGGCAGCAGTGATATAACAGTCTTGTCAGTTTAAGATGACCCTAAGAACGCGGATGATATTACGTTAAATAAATTTTAAATTTTCACTTTTTATCCTTAAACGTTAACAAAGCAAACTGTAGACGTTTTCAGGTTAGAACAGACATTCCACTTCCACGGCAGCGGAAGACGAGATTTATAATTGGATGGCAACAACTTTTTAGGGCCGACCTCTCTTCAAGGAGGGGCGAGTTCGTGAGAAGTGCGTATGCTTTAGGGACAGAACTTGTGATATGTTTCGACGTCAGCAATGAGATTTATGATAAAATGGTGAAATAATGCTTAATCTTCCATGTTCTGGAATCTGAAAGGGTTTCGTGTAGTCTTGACTAAGCCACGGAAAAGGATTGAATGATGGTAAATTCTATTGTTAAATATTTCCAACCCGCTTAATATCTCAGTTGTCATTGCAAATACGTCACAAAACAGTTGCTTTCCTTTCCTCAGTTGTGTGAAAATAACGATGATATTGCGATGCAAAAGATATTCCTTCTAATACACTACGTTACTGCAATAAGCGTCGGCGATATAAAGTATTACGGTTTAATTATCCGTTAATGTTGGCGCTTAGAAATCTCATTTGTTTTCATTCAGTTGCGTATTACAAACTATTGAATGATGACAACAAAACAAGCTCTGATCGTGAATTCAAAACCAATGTACTAGTTGCTCAGTAATTACCAACCGGATATCTCGTGAGAGTGACGGCTTTTCGATCTCGCCTGAATTTTCATTCACTTAAAAGCGAGTTGGCAAAGTTCAATGCAATTCTTATCAAGGTGAAGCCACAAACTGAACAGGTCTGCAGTTCGTTTCCGCTGAGATGGAATTTGCCATCAAAAATCTGATTAGGTGGCCAATTTGGAAACAAAACGGGTTGTCTATTTTATGTGCACGCGCAAAAAAAAAAACAAAAAAAACAAAAAACAAACAAACAAACAAAACAAAACAAAAGAAAAGAAACCATAGAATAGAGAAAACGAAAGCAAAAAACAAAAAAACAAACCAAGAAAAATTTCCTTCCCCTCAACTTTGAAAATGCAGCGTATTCCGCCACTTACCAACACCTCATGTATCTCCCGCCATAACAACAGAATAATTAATTTTCTTGCACACGCTTTTTAAACTACTACAATAAATAAATTGTGATTTTACCTCTGAAAAGAAAAACATAAGTTTTAAGTCGCAAAAAATGTCTGTAAATAATGCACTCAAAAATGTTGAGCGAAACTTTTGTCTTTGTATGAGCAAGGCCACCGATTGTTTAACCAACTCATTTAATTCACACAATTATGAAATGCCACTTCACTTAAACAGCATATCTCCATCCCTTCCCCATCGAGCAGATACTGTAAGCTATTTGAGGATCTTGTGTTTTGATTTTTGAGTGTTATCGTCCAATGAGTTGTTTCAAAAGAAACCTTAATCCTATTCGTCTGAATATTTTCCTTGATAAAGAGAGAGCGCATATCTCGTGACTATTTAAGTTATGGCATTGTCATTTTGTGGCTAAGTGGAGTATAAAACGCATCATAGTGGAATCTCAATCAAGGACCAAGCAGTCACAACATAAATTGATCGATCCATGCACACTATGTACCGATAAAAAAAAAAAGTTTAATTTCAACGTTTTTGATGAACTTACTTCCCCATCCGGAGATATCTTTCACGTGATAGAAGAGGAATCTACATTAAAGATGGATCGGTAAGAACAGGCTAGAGATGACAAGAAGAAAAAGATTAGCGAATAAGACAGCCAAACAGCCCAGTAGCTTCCTTTTGGATCGTTATTAGAGGGAACGCTACAGTTTAAATCGCATTGCAGTATTCATTACCCATTAACACGAGCGGAAATCTAGAAAGTTAATCGAGGAAACCAATCAAATGTAATATTCAACGACTTCACACACTGACATAATGTTTCATGAGAAAGTAATGATCACTATTGTATTCAAAACAGCCGAGTGTCAAATACCTATAACTCTTTGATTGCCGAGTATTGCCTGCGATGTTATCGAAAAATGCTGAAAAAAATCTTTTATGAGATGAGGGCCGACAATAAGAAAGAAGAAATAACGAGAAACTCTTCACAGAAATGTCTTTTGGTAAGGTTTGCAGTAGTCGAGACTGACCAAACTCCGTGAAAATTTAATACTGAGCGCAGTCGTTTTATATTTCTAATTACCTAGTGAACCGCCTCCTTACCACTCCTCACAAAAGCTGACCTCTTTTGCTGTCAAATCGGGTAAGGTAAGAAATTTTTGTCGAAAGAGAAAGAGCTTATGCATTGATTTTATTAGAACATAGACGAGAGCTATGACTGATCTAAGATGCTCAATATTAATGTTTTAAATGTTTTAGTCAGTTGTCACTGAATCATTTTCGAAATGGATCAAAACGCAGGTAAAATGGTGCAAAGTGATAGAAAGTACTTTCTATTCTCAAACTTTAACAAGGAAAATTAAAGAATATACTTGACTGGACTTCGAAAAGTCTCGAGGGCCGACCTCTGATTTGTTTGAAGACCTACAAGTTCATGAGAACTGCGTCGTTTGCAGCGTGGAGTAAGAGTTTGGGTTAAGTTATCGATGTCAATCGTGAAATCCATGATTAAATGGTGACAGTGTCGGTGAATAAATTTTCTTGTTGCTAAGTATGCCGAGCCTTGTAATTCCACACTGCATCATTGGCCCTCCAATTGGGATAGGTTAACGATGTCAAGAATGGGACTCAATATTAGATAGTGAAAGTGTCAGTTAATCCTCAGGGCTATGAACCAAAGTAAAATTATGAATTTTCCTGTTCGGTCTAGAATGTTGAGCTTAGTGATAACATAATACATCATTGGCCCATAAGTGAAAGATTTTCCGTCATCAGATGCACAAATATCGATGAAAAGAACAAATCAAATCAATTTGCATTGGGAAAAAAACGGGTGCTATATAGCTGTTTTAATCGTTAATATCTGACACTTAAAGATAGCGTGATGTCAGGCACTCTTTAATGTAGACCGCGCGTGCAGGTACTTCAACCAAAATAGTTGCTCAGTCTCAGTCTCTTGGTGAAGCATGCTTAAATCTCAGAACTTTCAGCACGCATATCTTTTTACTGCCAGTCAATCAATCCATCAGACTTTTTCAATTTCTCTTTTTGACATTTTCATTTGCTTCTTCTCATAAGAACATTAAAAAAAAAAAAAAAAAAAGAAAAAAGGAAACGTTTTGTTCTATGTGTGTCTATGAATAGTTATTAAATTATTTATAGCTCAGGCTTACCAAGTCTTTTTCTCGTTTGTTCTTTTTTCCTCCATATCGGATGCAAACGCCTATTAAGAGGGTGGGCGAAAATGTAGGTTAGCAAAATTCTGCCATAACTGACCACTTGATGTACAAAAACGCACTCAGAAATAGAACTAACATTGTTTCGAAATATAAAATAGATTAAAGTTTACTTGAAAGATTTAACTAATTAAATATATGAGTAGTTCCGCTTTATGTGATAGTTTGATGCAAGGGGAAGACAAAAAGGGCGACCTCGACCGCTTAATACAGGATGACTGCTAATATAGGTTTTCCTATGTGTTCATTGTACCTGCAACCTGTCAGGATCTTCATCTATCACAAATTCGCCACAATCCTCGTCAGTATTGTTTATGGGCACATTGTTTGTTATTATCACTGTTTAAATTATATATTCATGGTCTAAAATCGCACAATTCCACGTCCAAATTGTTAAAAAATCTCCCCATTCCCCGTTTCCAATTTGAAACTGAGAGAATTAGGCTGTTTTTAAGAAAGCTACACTGTACTTTAAGGGGAGGAAAAGCTCTATCTTCCCTGAGGGGAGAGCCAAATGTTTCAACAAAACCTGACGAGGGTAGCAGCTCAAAATCACATCTCAAGTGAATAGGTTGTGAAAGCTATAATTATAATTCATCCTGTTGAATAACGTCACTCTTTGTTTTTAGAAGATGGCTTGATCAAATAATCGTATATGCTACAGATATTCAGGCGCGGAACGTGGTCATTTTTTCAAGTACGCACACGTACATATAATCTAGAAAGCTAAGTAAACTGAGCGAAAAACTACTGCGTTCTTTATTTCTTGTTTGAAATAGTTGTGTGAATACAAGCAAAGAACAAAGTGTCTTGCCCTTATTTTGAGCAAACTTGGCGCAAACACAACATTGTTTTTAAATTTTTCTGGTAACTTTAAGCACGAACGTGCGTATATGCGTAGAGGACGCTACGCACCTGATATTCTAATATGATAGTTGAGGAATATTTCTTGGGTCAATAGTAAGGTAAGACAGGTATACTCCTGTAGCTTGCTGCAGTATCGCAGTAATCATTATATTCCCGGAAATACGCACGGAAATCAGGCACGTTCACTGAGGTCTCAAATGAAATATTGAATGTGGATGAAAGACGTAATATTTTCTTTTTCAACAACAATGCACAAGAAAGATATATCTCAGACGGTTGTAACAATATCGTTTGAGAAGGTAAACATCAATCAGTAATCATAATTATGATATAATAAGCACGGAAATCCATCACGTTCACCGAGGCGTTAAATGAGATATTCAATGGCTCCGCTAGGTTTATCGGTTTAAAATATTTGCAATATCTTACCTTGTTTTATTAATCTGATTCGTCCAAATTATTTATTTAGTGACTCACTCTGAGTACTCAAGTGGCTTTTCAGTTTTAAACGTGGAGAGAGAAAAAGTCAACTCTTTTCTTTACTTTCTCTTATGTACCTAAATTTAATCTTAATCTTATGAGGAGCTCTTTTATTTATAAGGGCGCTCAACCATGGAATAAACTTCCAGAGGATGTCAAGCTGGCCGATAATTTCATATTTTTAAGTCTAAGCTAAGATCAATTCAGCTGTAATTTTTGTATTTTAAAAGTTTTTGGTAATTTTTTATAATCTTTCAAATTCATGTGTACATAGATTATAGATTACATATTTAAATTTGTTTATATCATGTGTTTTTAGTATAATTGTAGATTTAATGTACGTTCGCATTTTGAACGAATACTTGTGCTCTTGGACAATAATATGTTTAAATAAATTATTGTACTATTGTATTGTGTTTACTGCTCCTACCACAAATATGTCTTAAGTCTCCCCTAAAAACTCGTACTGATGTGGTAGCACTTAGTGAGGAGAACACTATTAACTTCCCCTTCTTTATCAAGTCCCCACTCTTTAAAATAGTTCCTGATATTACCTCCTAACCCCTCCCCACTTGGTGCGAACTTCAAGGATTCAGAATTCTTGCCTGTGCGACAACAGGCAAGGATTCTGGTAGATCAGCCTCTGAATTTTTGTACCCGGTGGAAATTTCTCTGCGCTCTGAGAAGTGACGCAGTCTATGCACGTAATTCAATCAGCTTCGACTGCCTGATTGGTATCACCAGCTTTGACTCTGATTAAAACAAGATTCTTTTTTGTCAGGCACATGGAACTTTATATTTTAGAGAGTTTACAAACCTACTTTTACAATTCCATGATAATTTCTAACAAATTTCTCTACTTTTAACTAAATGCGTTGTCGATGCGTGCTCTTGCTATTAAACGCCTGTTTAATCAGTTTCAGGGCGATGAGTTTCCTCCCAATCTGCATGCCCCCACTTTTGCAAACGAAGAAAGAAAGTATTTTGCCTCAACGATTGATACAGACCAGAGACAAATTGATGCTGATACTATAGATTTATCTGCCTCCGCATCAATTACTTTTCTGCACGGTCGACTTCATCGTTATTTGCATTTAAGATCCTGTCTGCCAACAATGTTAAATCCCTTATTCACAACTGAACATTGAAGTCATGCCCACTGACCCAATGCCCTCTCGCTTGGTCAGCCGATGTGATGCTCTTCATCCAGTCATTACTACTATCATTAACAAATCGCTAGAAGCCAGACTCTTTCCCAGGTCCTGGAAGGAGGCACTAGTATGTCCTTTACTCAAAAAACGTGGTATATATATCATATTCATAAATTTCAGACCAGTAAGCAATTCGGCTTCCTTATCGAAGTCGACACGAGCCTATACCCGAACGCTCAATCAGCTTACAGGATGCACCATAGCACTTCAACTGCTCATGAAACGGCTTATGAAAGTTAATAATGATAATATTAATAAACAACATGTAACTCTTCTAGTGCCTCTCGATCTTAGTGATGCTTTCGATACATTCCAGCAAAATATCTTGCTAGAGGCACTCAATACACTGGGACTTGAGGGCGCGGTGTCCAACTGGTTCTCATGGTATTTATAAGGGGGCAGTCAGAGGATACTAATTCGTGGGTGTCTGTCGAAGAAGTTTAACTTGAACTGGGGAGTTCCTCAAGGTTCCTGTTTAGAACCACTCTTGTTTACCACTTATACGAGATCTTTACTAGATGTGGTCGGAAAATGTCTTCCATCCTGCCATCTGTCCACTGCTATGCAGACGATACCCAACTTTACGTCTCTTTCAAACCCGCAGATGAGATAGGTCACTTGGATGCCATTGCTGCTATTGAATGTTGTATTAAGGCGATCAGGTGTGGATGCGTGAGATTAAACTAGTGTTGCATGAGGAATAACTGAGTTTCTATTAATTGGCACGCAGCAGCGGCTCGCCGAATTTTTTAATGGACACATTTAAGTTGGCAAACCAAACAAAGAACTGTTTACGCAACTTATTCAACATTCGCACGTTGAAAACCTTCGTGCTGAGTACTGTTGTCGGCCAAGCCAAAAATATTCATGCGATTTGCTAAATATTCTAGTCAAGAAAGAATCCTTCATAAGTAGCTGCAACAACGATTGCAAAAAGGAAAGCAATAAACGATTTCAAAAAGGAAGCCTGAAAAAAAATTCAAGTCCTACTACCAATTGAGTAACGAAGCCACTTGATGGCAGCAAAACAAATTTTTAGTAAATGGGTTCGTTCACGTAGAGTATCACAATGTCAATCTCGTAAACATTTCCGATACTGTCGGCTGCGTCATACAACAAACGCTTTGAGTGACATGTTCAACTTTTGAGTTGACAAACTTTCCCGCTATTTTTCTGTTTAGGCGCACTGCAAATAGGAAAGACAGGACAAGACAACTTTATTTAGCCAGGGTGGCCCAGTCAGCTGCGAGGCTGGTATCCTTAGGGGCCCTGGTTTCTATAAAATTTACATATACACATTTCCAATAAAATTACAAAGTTGAATAAAATTTGCTAAGATTAGAAAAGGAGATAAAATCAGATAAAATGTTCTTTAAGAGGGCGTTTAAAAATTTCTAGAGAACTTGCCTCTTTGATTTTGCTTGGCAGTGAATTAAAGGTTAAACGTTCTGAATTTTTAAAAGTTCGCCCTTCAAGAACAATATTTGTTTTATTTGGGTGAATATATCTCCTCTGCCTAGTGTTATAATTGTGTACGTCACTGTTAACTTTAAAATAGTTTTTTAAGTATGTAGGAACGAGATTCCGTAAAAATTTATATACTAAAATACATTTGTATTTTTCGCAGTGTTTCTAAATCTGGCCAATTTACAATATTTCGGGCTGTCCTTTTACTTTTCTGACAGGTGACGATTTTCGTGGCTCAATTTTGTAATCGTTGCAGACTAGTGATGCTGCTCTCGGGTAGTTCACCCCAGGCTGTGTCTGCGTAGCTAAAATTGGCTCAATAATGCATTTGTATACCGCTTGAGCTGCTTGTAGAGTGATACTGGAGCGTATTCGTCTGAGGAGACCGAGTAGCTTGGATACTTTCTTGTGAACATCTTCAGCATGTGCTTTCAATTTCAGTTCCTCATCGAGGGTAACGCCCAAGTATGTGAATTTACTGACCATCTCTACATTGTTTCTTACTTATATTGTACAAGAGCTTGTTTTTTAACTGCTATCCAGGCTATCCAAAGAATATGTTTAGTTTCCGGTCTGTATCCTATAATCTACGCGGAAATTATATTTTGTCTCTACCGTCTACGAAAACTACTACTTATGGTCTTCACTCCTTTTCATATATGGCTTCAAAACTATGGAACTCTCTTCCGGACTCTTTTAGAACGTCTGAATTTTCTGATTTCAAGCGCAAGATTCTACAGTATGACTCTTTCTCATAGTTAAATTTTAGAATGTTACAATTTTACATTTTACATTTTACATTTTAGCAGTATTTAGAATTATACTTGTAACTCGAAGATACAAGCTTATTCTTTAGCTACTCCAAATTCGAGATTAAATAAAGCATATGTATGTATGTTCAGAACCAGTCGATTTATTTCCATCCAAGTTACAACCCGTTTTAGGTCTTCTTGTAGGGCCTTCTTTATCTCCTTTGGGTTTGCACCTGAGCAATAGATGACTATATCATCAGCATACATACTGATGTGCGTGTTTTGAGACAGCTTGGCAGGTCATTGATGTGTATAACGAAAAGTAGTGGTCCCAGAAGGGATCCCTGTGGGACACCATATTTAATGGAGAGGCTTGATGACAAGTCCTGTCCAAATCGTACTCACTGTGTACGAGATCCTGGGTAGTTCTGGAACCATGTGAGACTTTTCCCTCTGACACCATAGTGCTCTAACTTCTGTAACAAACAGCTATGGTCAACTAGGTCGAAAGCCTTCTTTAGGCGACTTTCTCAGCCGTTAGGGAGAGTGTGATCTGAGTGTTTTATCATTTAGAATATCTGTTAAAATCACTTTTGACATGTGACAATGTAAACGATTTGTTTGTTTGTCGCGCCACTTTGTTGTTTTGTAATGGGGACAGCCTTTAGAGTATAAATAAGGCTTTGAGTTGAGTGGAATCTTCATTCAGTGCTTGATGCAATTACTGTTACATCTCTGTCTTCAAAAAATTGCAGGCTCATGAGAATCATCTTTTAACAGCTTTGACTGAGTACCGCTGCGACTCCTGTCACACACTGAGTCCTGAACGCAACTGTGGCGAGAACAGCCCACAATCATCTTCTTCTTATAATTATGCCGTTTCCACCAGTGATTGTGACGGTGAAGCCGATAGATTGCCGAAAAGAGGGCGAAGAAGAAATGGCAGCGTACAACCTTCTCGATCGATGCTTGAAGTATGGGAACTAGAACGAACATACGTGCAGCGGCTATAATTGATGCCTGAAGACGAAGAGGACTCGGTGAAGAGGATTGAGATCACGGCCAGGAGTCAGAGGATGAGTTACCTCAAGAGGTTTTAACCTTACACTGATTTCTAGTCTGTTCCTCTCGTATAACGGTCATTTGAAGAAAAATCCGAATACAGTTGCAACATCTGCAGCTTTCCGTAATCGAGTGATAATATCTAAAAGAGCTTATTGTAATACCTTTTTCCTTTTTTCGTTTTAGTATTGGTTTCAAAATCGACGAGCCAAGTCACGAAGAGAAGAGAAAACGCTGGGGTTCAACTTTCAGAGAAACCCGTGAAACCGGTTTAAAAAGCCATCACAGACCCTAACACAGTCTCCTTTAAATTCCCGGAGACAGGCTTATAGTCTTAAAATAAGTGAGGAGAATTTACTACCTTTCTATAATCAAGAAATGGATAGATATTCTAGTCTTCTCCGATAAGGACGAATAAACCGTAGGCCGCGTCTCCTGCTGGGTTAGGGGTAGGAGACGTTAATTTCCCACGCACGAGATTACTGAGTTGTGGATGTCCTCCCCTGGGCTGGGATGGGTGGGAATTGGTCCTGAAAATCCCCCATGGGGAGTGGTCAACTAACCTATGTATGTATGTATGTATGTACAGGCGGACCGTCTTTCTTACCAAGACCAGGTAACTGCAGTGAAAAACTGAATGCATACAGGTGACCAATCACAGTTGAATAGGGACAGTTAGCGATCAGGACAGACCACTTATGTAAGTGTTCGTCGTTTTTAGTGCACATGTTCCACCTAGACCAGTTCCGAAGAAGACATTTTGCACTTCAAAGACCCTTGGAAAACCGGGGTTTCTATAGATACTAGCCGTATCTAGGCCTATTTATTGGTGTAAATATTTCATTTAAGTTGAAATTAGGAAACATTGAGGTATTTATAAAGAAAACTAAGAAAAAATGTTTTGTACAATATCCTACGTATGATGCACGATCCTCGCAGTAGACAGCGCTATTTAAGCAATAGCGAAAATCAGATCTGAAAAAAAATCAGGCCTGTACGGGATTCGAACCACTGACCTCTGCGATACTAGTGCAGCGCTTTACCAATTGAGCCTACAATATCATGTAGGATTGTCTTCTTCTAAACAAATAAATCATTTGAATTTTACCATCGGTTTTATTAGGTTGTGGATTTCTTTTTGAATAGAAATTTCAAGAAAATATTTTCGAAGCTCTTTTGCTAAAGATAGATATCCCATCAGAACTTGGTCTGAGCTCGAAAACATTCAAAATTAGTTAATAACGTAGTAGTACAATGCAACGTCTTGATGCATGATTGCGTTTTTTTATGGTTATAAATTCAAAATTGCAATTATTATTGAATCTAGACACATTTTCATTTGATCACGCTAGATATAACGTGACATAGAATTCCAAGTCACTGAATACACTGATACTTCCATGACTACCGTCACGAATATAGAACAACGTTCTACACTAACTAAGTAAAAAACAAAACAAAAACAAAACAAAACAACGCTTGTTCCACAATACAATAGAGAAGAAAGTGTAGTAGGTGTAGTTTGTTGTCATATGGTGTAGTAGGTGTGGTTTGGTATAGTTTGTTGTAGGAGGTGTAGTTTTTTTTAGTAATTTGGTATGGGTTAGTGCAGTTTACAGTGCAATCTACAGTGTTCTATCCATTGTCATTGTGTCAGCAAAAGCGCTTACAAAGAGTCCAAAATGTATGCGCGGGTTATGTACTAGGTCGCTATGCGAAAGAAGCAGACTGCCTACAGCTGGGCTGGGTACCGGTGATAGAGCGTAGAAGTTATCAGTTACTGCAGTGCGTATTCAAAGCACTATATTTTGACCTTTGGCCACAGTACTTAAAACTCGAAATACACGTACCGGCAAGAAATCTACGCTGGTCCTGCGACGTCAGATTAAAGGTGCCCATCGAAACTGGTACTTTTCAAGACAGCTCAGCAGCATTCTCAATGAATTACCAAGTTATCTGCGGAACTGTACGGACTTTCGATTCTTTAAGAGTAAATTGACATCATATCTTTTTAATAACGCTGGAAAGAGATTAGAAACATGAATCTCAGGCCTTTTCGCTTGTTTATAAATTATCTCTTAATTAGAGTGTGATTTATTGTAAACTATATGATATAACGTAATTCGATTAGTATAGTAATTTTAGCATAGAAGAGCCAATTAACTTTTTGAATTTTAGTAAACCTTTATTACTCTTATTATTATTATTATTATTATTATTATTAATATTATTATTATTAGTCTAGTATAGTAGGTGTAGTTGGGTGTAGTTTGGGGTAGTTTAGTGTAGTACGTGTAGTCTAGTGTAGTAGGTCGGATACTAGTCCATCGCAGGGTTACCCCCAGTATTAAATTCGCCGGTACCCATTAAATTCTCCCGGATGAGGAGAGGCACTGTCAGCGTAAAGTGTCTTGCTCAAGGACACATCACAACCTCCCCGGCCAGGACTCGAACCCGGACTACTCAATCCGGAGTTGAGCGCACTAACCATGAGACCACCGCGCCTCCACTAGTAGGTGTAGTAAGTGTAATTAAGTGTAGTAGGTGTAGTAAGTGTAATTAAGTGTAGTAGGTGTAGTTTGGTGTAGTAGGTTAAGTGAAATTTTTTCAAACGTGCGACCACATTTAGAGAGGGGATATAATTATAGACCCACGACAAGTTATTTTTTCGGGTGCAATAAGCGCCATTTGAGAACAGTGAAATATTGACCATCTTTTGTAAAGGACTTAATCAAGGAAAAAAAATAATAGAATAACAAAATTGGTTTTCGCCAAGTCTGGGAAGTTGAAATGATAATAATAAGGACTTTAGTAAAAGGGGGATAAAGTGAGCACGTTAGTTTTCTTTCAGTTATCTTGATAAAATTTCTATCTTAGTTTGGGAAGTGAGGTATTTTCCGATGGTAGAAAGATACGTAGCATCTATTAATTATTCATTAACTCTGCTCTGATCATATGTAATCGTTTCTTATTCCGTAATTTCACTTTAAGTTCGCTATCAACCCGAAAACTCGCCTTTGTCGTCTACGCAAAAAACAGCACCTGCCATTATTTTAAAAGCAATATATGTCATTGAATAAATTTAAATAAATAATAAATAAATAAATAAATAATAAATTAAGCACTATTGATCTGTACATGTAAATAGGGCTATACAACTAATTAAAATTTATTTATTTATTTATTTACGCACCCTTTCACACCCGCAGGCCGTACGGGAGGGAAAAACGACCTCGGTCCCACTCCCTCCACCTCTCTACTTGATATGGATTAGCTTTCTCCGGCAACAATAATGATTGTTTTGATGTAGATATGCACGATGGCGTTTTTCTTACTTCTTGGAATGAAATACTTTTCCTTTTTTTATTGTAGTCGGAATCATATGCAGAAAAAAAATCTTTGAAGATGGGATAAAGTCTGTGATCAGTGGGTTGCCATGGCAATACGACCATCAGGCTATCGATATTAATACATAAATAATGTAAAACAGTCTTCATTTTATCGTATGATGAAACACATATCTAAAAGTTTTTTTTTTTGTAATATCATCTTCAATGGCTTTACTGGTAGCGCTAAAATAACAAAGTTTTAAAAATTATTACAAAGAAAAGAACCGGAGAAAATGGAAAAAATATATATATTTATATAAACTCCAGCTAATGGCTCATAACGCTACAACATGTATATGCATCCTTATAAATCAACCTTGGTGTAATGAGAAGATTCATCTATGAGAAATTATTTGCAAGTTGTCACACCATCGTTTTGATTTCATTTAAAAGAATACATGGAATGTAGCGTTCCCCATGTTATAAAGTCTTCCTGAGAATCAAATAAATGCGATACCAAAGCAAATAACGAAGATGTACTCTCTTTACATCTAATAATCCAAATGGCTATAGTTGACTCTATATGTCGTCATTTTCCTTATCAGCATATTGTAAAATATTTGTGGTAGAAACTACTCCTTAATGTTTTAAAACAGCATCGATTGGGCAGATGTAAATTTCATCATTTTGAACTTTAAACACGCGCATAAATCACTGAGTAAGATACAATAAAACTATGTAAAAGGATGTTTTGGTTTGATTTCGACAGCAAACGAACTTATCTTTGAACTGTAGCATTTTCAAATCATGGGTTACAAAGTATACACTGGGAGACGGTTTACGATGGCGTTTCCCCATAGGAATATATATAAATTCAAGCAAGGCCACGTGGACTCGCATCTGCAAATCATGATCGTAATCAACGAGGGAATCGCCTTTACTCGGCCATTAATACACTGCTTATCACCTCCAAAACAACCGATTAGAATCCGTGAAAATCATTGTACCCTCATGAAGAAAGTTCTACAAAAAATCGATCGGTCTAATTTTCATTTCAGTTGATGTGGGAACGCTGCCCTCAAGACTGTTTTCAACTAATTCTCCCCAGTGGATATCGGCCCCGGTTTCATTCCCAAAAAGTGGATAATTTCCGTTGAGATTTGACCAAATAGCACAATCACTACTTACGTATATGAGCACGATCCTTCGCAGTAAAGCACTATTTGAGCAATAGTGCTTTACTGCGAAGGATCGTGCTCATATACGTCTCATAACCGCAGTTCACACATATGTTTCATATGTTTGTTGTTGTTTGATTTATCATCTACGGGTTTATGTCGAATTAATTTGATGGCCTGCTCCCAGTTGGCTTGTTAGCTCAATTGGTAGAGCGCTGCACTAGTATCGCAGAGGTCAGTGGTTCGAATCCCGTACAGGCCTGAAATTTTTTTCAGGTCTGATTTTCACTATTGCTCAAATAGTTCTTTACTGCGAAGGATCGTGCTCATATACGTCTCATAACCGCAGTTCACACATATGTTACAATCACTACTGTTGCTATATCACCAGCCTCCGCTTCTTTTTTGAGCGCCAGCATAATCAGCTGGATCTCTATCCCAGCTACAAAAAACAAAGTCTCTGTGAGGACCGAGGGAATCAGAAGAAACAGTTTCTTCTGTTCCAAAATAAAATAAAGGAGTTCGCGTAATTTCAAAGTCAGCATAACACCTTAGAAGCATTTAAGTTGGTGTTTGCCACAAAAAAGGAAAAAAACAGCAACTACAACAACGACAACAACAAAAACAGAACATAACTCAATTTAAACAATAGTAACACACTGTCTCAATGAAATTATTTCGGTTAGCCACAAACTATTGTTTTAATCTCCAATAACGAAGTAGGGCAAAGCATCTAGATGATGATTAGATTTTTATATTCTGCTAAAGCTGAGATAATCAACTGTTTTCTCAATATATTGGAGCTAAGGGAGGGAGGTCTTTGGCGATGAGAGCGAAGTAATTTAAAAAAATTGAAAGTAAGTTGAAAAAACTGACTTACTTGTAACATTGCCAATGTACAGCCGGTACATAGCTGTCTCGTTCCCAATCCCGAACCAGCCATACTCAGCGTGAACAGTTTTGCTAGTTGCTATTGCCAGATCAACTCGCAGCAAGTTTTTTGTCTTGTTTCGTGTCAGGCGGTTTATCTTGTCCAGTCCGAGCCAAAATTCACCAATGGAGTTACCAAAGCCATGTTTGTAGTCATCCCAAGTGCGGTTAAAATCACCAGAGCCATCCAATCTCTTCTGAAACACTATCCACCCCCCACCGGCTGTTGTTTGGTCACAATACACCTTAAAGGCACCTAAACCGTCTGAGTCGATTTTGTAGACACCGCTGATCCTTAGGCCGGATTTTTACAGCTTAGCACAGTTTTTAGCTATAAAAAAAGGATTAAAGATTATTATGAAAACGAATAAGGGGAATCAACACACATACGAGCGTAAAGAATCTTACTTATACATGTCATCCTTTCTTTCGTTGTTTCTTCCAAGTAGTCAGCATGGTTTCTTTGGCACTCTTTCGGGGCTGTAGGCAAGGATGGTAGAATTTCAAAAGTTCCAGAAAGTGCCAGAAACAGCGTAGCAAAACCTAAAGGAAAGAGGTCATTATGCAATAATGATTATAATAACAACAATAATAATAGGAGAAATATTGATAAAAACTACACCAAAATTAGAATGGGGCGGTGGATCACGTGGTTTTCATAGAAAAATTGATTGTCAATTATCAGCCAACTAGACAGTGACTTGACGTTCTTAAGGCAAAAGTTAATTTAAAACTGAATTTGCTGGCTACAAAGAAATTTTTACAATGAGAGGATTGAATGAGCCGATCGAGTGTGGAAATTTAATTGAACAGAACTCAGAAAAAAAAAAAAAGAAAGGTGTTATATACTGCCACGTGCGTAAAAGTTCAACTTTGTGAGATAAACTGACTATGTGTGCTTTTCTTGGAACCAGCATCGAAAAAAAATTCAACTTGTTTCAAGGTTTATTCGTTAAAGTCGATTTATTTTTAGTTTAATAGGGTTACTAAATTTAGAGTCGCACATAAGCCCCACGTCAAAGGCAGTTGTTACAACTTTAAGCCTCTTCAAATTCAAAAGCTTTGACATGAAAAGGCATAAACGTTTCACAAGTGATCCTATGTGTGAAAAAGTAAGTATTAGATGTAAGCACTACAAATTGTATACCAAACATCCAGATTTTACATACCTATTCCTTGTTGTATGCGCCTCATTGTATTTCTGCTGGTGTTGTTTGTTGTTTCACAAAGGCTGCGGGAAAAAAAGTTTTCAAGAAAATAAAAGTTTTCAAGAAAAAAAACGTTTGCTAAAGAATCCAAATTCTTTAGAAAAAGTGTAGCAGTAAAGACTGATAGGACTTACAGCTAAGTTCACTTCTCTTATTTAATCACTCTAACCGCCCGCCTTTTTCGTTCTTCGTGAAGAGCTGACAAAGTATGAGCGAATTTCCTTTTATCATATCAGCAAAGCGAAAAAAAAAAAGGAAAAAAAAAAGGAGATAAACCTCTATTGTCTCAATTTGTGAAAGTTTCGATCTCCCGTCATCACTTATTATTAAAATAGAACTTATGGTACTAATTTTACTGCGGTTTCCGACACAGTGTCGTAGTTCGCCTTTCGTCAGTTTCGTGCGGAGTTCATGAGAACTGGTACGTTTATCTTATTACTTGAATGTAACTTGGCGTCGTTTCGGCTGGTGTTCAGAAATCAGCCAGTCTTACAGAATAATCTTAATTTCACCTGGTTTCGTCATCTCTTGTTTCCTATTCAACATAAAATATCTAGCGACCGGAATTACCTTAAATGAATAAATAAACGACGTTGCGAGTCTGTGCAATGACTTTTTCCGGTTTGACACCTGAGCGTGTCGAATATTTGTTGTTTCCTATCCCAAAAGGTGCAAATTTGTAGCTATCTTTGTCCTGTAATTCATTTTCCTCAATTGTGAAGTCGCTTTCGATTCCTTTGCATTTGTCTTCCTCTGTTACTTGTATTTACTCCGGTTTTTTTTAGCGAGAGTAATTGCAACCGTATACTCTGAAATAAAATTCGCGTGTTGGAACAAATGACAGTTTTTTTTCTGGGATCGCCTTCTTGGAGTCACAAATTTGAAAATGGTTCCAATTGATAACAATTTCCTGAAACTTCAGTTAAAAAAATCGAATACAAAAGAAAGTTTCCAGAATCTTATCTTGAAAATTCTTGCCAAGCTCTGGAGGTTGTACATTTTTCGGAAATTTGGAAACTCAGACAATAAACCCACCGTTTCATACGTAATGCGGACGACCTAAAGAAGCATCAACACAATCTTGTGAAGTTAATTCTTTCACAAATCTTTAACATTGAACTTGAAAGTGAAAGGGTTAAAAGTGAAAGCCGATATTTATTTCCCAGTTCAGCTCCTTAATCTCTCGCTTTGGCGTTTTCCCAGAGTGTTCGTTTTCTCAAAGAAATTCCTTCTCAATCAAATCAAACCAAGAGATCATATGATCCCTTGATTAAACGGATTGAATGAAATGTAAACAATAGACAACATCCATTAAAATGGACTCTTGCTTTTCCAAGTGAATCACGGGAGGCAAGGATTGGTTCAAGAAACATTAGCTACATGCTACTGTGGCAGTGAATAGGAAGAGAAGGGAATGGTAAAAAATTGTGGCAGTTTTGATTTAATGCTAGTTTTGGGAACTGAGTCTGACCTTAAGACGTCGCTTAGTTTCACCTTTGCAATCAAGTGAAGCCATGATAGTCGCAAGTAAGCTGCAACTTTAGCAAATGCGGGATTCGAACTGGTGCCTACTCATACTAGTTATGCATTATTACCATTTGACTAAGGAGGCTACCCGCTGGGAGCAAGGCTGGCGGATTCTAATTCATTGCCAATTATGTTGCGTCATATTCTACCATGGGAAGGAAAAAAACCCTCTAAAATTGGTATCGATCACAACGTATTGTTTTGTGTGGCTTCGTATCTGGAAAGCACGGGTTCGAATCTCGTCGAAGCCTGATTGTTTTTTCAGGATTCTGTTTCACTTGTGCAATTAAAATTTTCGCTCACCTGCAGGGGTTATGGCTTTATTTGCTTTAAATCCGAAGGTCAGATAAACTTTACTTCATTACCAGTTATTTCACATTTGTATTGAAAGTAACTTGCTTTCTGAAACTTAAATCCACAAATTTTCTGACCCCTAACACATAATGCAACAGAAAGCTACACTCCAGTTAGTTCTCTTGAGATATGTCGTGATAAAGTCGTATTCTAAATACCGATTGGCAAAGGCCTGGCTTTGGCAGCATGTTACATGACGCATGGGTTTTTCTCCCTGAGAAGGAACAACTCAGACTATAGTTTTTCCTTCTGTTATTCTTTTTAGTTAGAGTCTCGTATGGAATACGTTAGCGGTAAAACTAAATTGTACTGCCAGTATGTGTCTTTGAATTAGTGTATTTAGACCAGTACTAACTGAAAAAGACATGCAAATTACGCCTCGTTGTTCCTGTTGCAAAAATGATGCACTTATTTCAAGGTCGTGGCCATCATCATGTTTTGAGTAGCAACAAGAAGGCAGGTATCATTGTAAGTAAGATATGTAATTTTAAGGACTGAAACATTCGCTTTTTAAATCCTAGGCCGTCTAAAGGAAATTCGGCACAAAGGACGATGAATCAGCAAAATATTCACATGATACTTGTTAGGGAAGCCATTTTCAAAAACTGATTGTATTTGTTGATCTAGCTTGCCAGTGACTCGACATTAACTTGGCATTTCCATCTTCCCAAGTGGGGAAAACTAATGATATATCTACGTTTCAGCTCAGAAGCTTTCTTTTTTGAAATCATTCACCGGCATGGCACTCAAGGATAATTCCTTTCTTTCCACCATGCAAATGCAACATGTTAAATGCCAACACCATTTGCATCTTTCGTCATAACTTTGACAAATTGATTTAATTGAGCGCGTGCTCCTCTAACAAGCGATAATTTTATCCGGCGACTTGAAAACGCCACCACACATTGTTTTATTGATTTAATTAGCTCGCACAGTTATGAAAAAGAACAAATGATTTACGAGTAATTTACTTGAAAAAGCATTCTTGACCTCGGTGCCATTAAGCGAATGTCATAAATAAGCTATTTGATTATCACAAGTTTTATACTAGAGAGATATCGTCCTTTTGAATTGTTTTAAAAGAAACCTTACTCCCAACCATTTATATTATATATTCCGTAACATTTGATTGTACATTTCGTGACACAGCATACTCCTATTAGGGCGGAGTAGAGTATAAGAGCCCATAAAATACCATGGACTATCAAGCAATAAATCAACTGATCAATCAATCAATCCAGGTCGGAGTGTTTGACGATTTCACTTCCGGACACAGATATCATATGACAGTTTAGGAACAGGATTAAGTCTTTTTGGTGGTTTTATCTGCATTTAAGATTACTCGCTAAGATGCAATTAAAAGGAAATGTTTAAGAATTACCGTTAACTGATTTGACAGCTACGCCCCAGTAGCATCTTATCAGAAGGATTATCTCAGTTTACTTCACATCGCAGTATTCATTGTGTATTGACACGAACAGAAATCCAGAAAGTTCATTGCAGGCAGCTAGTGTAATATTCAATAACACCAATGAAAATTGTTCCTTGAAATGTTCTACCGGTGATTAAGTAATCATAAGGAAATTGTATACAAAACAGCCAAAGACACACACGATTGCTGGTTATTGTATGCAGCTGCACAAAAATCATTTGTTTTGGGTGAGGACCGACAAAAAGAAAGAAGAATTAAAAAGAAACTCTTTAGAAAATGTCTGTTAGTAGTAGGGTTTTACCGAAGCTGACTTTACTAAAACTTGAGTGCACTCGCTTCACTTTTTTAATTACCTTTTAAACCGCCTCCTTCGCTTTCCTCATAAGAACTGACAAAAGAGCATATATTGTTGCTTTTTTTAACCACGAAATACATATCTGGGAAAAAAAAAAAACTATCAGCAACAAGCAAACCTCATCTGCTGTCAAATCGTAGGGGTAAGAAATTCTTATCGCACGAGACAGCTCAACGCTTTAATTTTATCGAGAGTTTCCTAGATTGGGGCCCAACATACTCGTAAAAAAATTCATATTTCCATTCTCAAACTCGCACGGAAGGTTAACGATTTGTTAGACCAGACAATCCACCTTTAGAGGAAGTGAAAGACGACTTCCTAAACTAGAAAACAACAAACTTTAAGGATCGACATTCAATTGGTTTGAAGATGTGCAGGTTCGCGAGAACAACGTAAATGTACTGTAAGAATTTGAGATAAGTTATCAACCTAAATCTTAGGATTCATGATCAATTTATGAAAGTGTCAGCTAACTAATCTTCAGAGTTACGGATCAAAGTAAAATTAAGAATTTTTCCTGCTGTTTGACATGTAAAGTCTGGTAAATGCATTATATTTAGTATAGTACATCATTGGCCTCCTAGTGATAGATTTCCCTTTGTTAGATGCGTGAATGGCAATGAATATTGCAAAGCGAATAAAAGGACGTTGAGAAATTCACTCTGAAATGCTAGAAATTAATGGATAAGGAGCTGCATGGCTACTGTTTCGACACGCCTTAATGCAGACGACACAAACAGATTCTTTCAACCAAATTGTTGCTCTTTCCCAGTTCCTAAGTTTCACGCAAGGAATCTATGGTGCAGTACGCTCAAAAATCTCAAAAAGTTATGCCTCAGTACGCATATATTTTCATTGCCTTGCAGAAAATGGTTGAAAACCATTTCGTGCCATTAATATTATTAAAAGAAATGGAATTTAAAAAGTCTAAAAAAGAGTTTATAACTTAAATATAAAAGAAATCAAACACAGATAGTCCAAACATTTGATTTTAAATATAACTTAAGAAAAAGATAAGAAAGAAAAACGTTGGCAATTTTCCGGGGACTCTAACCTTAAGCTTCTTCAAGCAGTTTTTATAAATCCATCCATAAAATCCCGCGTTATCTTGCCCAAACAGTTATGACGACTATAACTGTTTTAACAGTTGTAGACATGATTTAAAAAAACTATTTTAAAAATCATTAGAATGAAATTATTCCCTTGAGCAACATTTTCCTCCGTTCACAAGCAGATGCTATCAGGTCTTTGTCGATCTTGTGTTTTACATACGTCATCGCTGAGTTGTTCGACAGGCAGTTCATTTATTTGTTTGCTTTGATAGAGGAGACGAATTACCTTGTAGCTGTTTCGTGGCATACTTACATTTTGGCGGTGCAGACGACTGACTCGTTAACTAATAATAATATTTACACTTTTCTGAGCGTATCAAACGTTCCACCGTTTCCAGAGTGAGTTTATCTTTTTATTATTCAAATGCACAAAGTAGATAACAAACAACGTGCAAGTCGTGTACAAATATCCTGCGATCTTGGACAGGTGGTTAAAAGTTTTGTACTGTAAAAAACCTGCTTGACAGGCCGGCTACGCTTCTTTTTGTTGACTGGTAGCGTTTTGATTTTCAAACTGTGCGGAAGATTATTAGAATTCTCTGTTGGGGTTGTCTATGCATGAGATCAAATCATTTACAAAAGATGATTGGAGAATTTCTGTATGGGATTGGGTGGAAGAGAACGAATACAGAACATAAACTCAGATAGAGAAAAAACTGAGAAAACGAAGCAGAGAGGTTTAAAACTGTTCAAAGAATTTTTGCGACGAAAAGAACGAGGAAATTAAACATGTATCTTTAGTAGCTTCTTCGCCCGTTCCACGAAAATACAGAGGATTATCAACCCTCACGCTTAAAATGCCTTGTTTCAAGTATCGAGAATTATTATGCAA